GAAATTTTCTTCCGGAGTAGTTTCGTTACACGTATTTACCGTGAGCTAAAACTTGCTCGAACGGTCGACCACCCGCTGAGTGTTCAGCGCGATTACCCGGTGAAATAAACGGAATATGGTTGGCGTTTTTTGCTCGAACGGGCCCTTAGTAATCTATGAACCTGTAGAGTTCAACTGTATATTACATGCGACTAAACAAACATGGCAGATGGAGTTTATTGAAAATGACCTGTTGAATTAGCCCTATTTTTACCAAGAAGCCACTAAATACATGAAATAGCATGAACGATTTGTAATAGTCTCTAAATCCTTTGTCTATATTGGCAAGAAAATATAGAAGTGCCAATTTAATTAGGTTCAACACATTTCAAATGCAACTTTTCAGATCCTTTGGTCTACAGCATTCTCTTCATTTATCAATACTGCCCTCAACCATGAGACTATTTCATTACTACATGGTAGCTCCTTGAGTACATAGACCTATAGTAATGAAATTGTGCATACTGTACGCACTCAAAATCCAAAAATTACTTCACGTTTGAATAGGATATTAATAGTACATAAATAACATTCTTTTAGTCCTTTAAGATGGATGTATACAGTTGTCCCATCAGGCATGTTATCCTGAAAAAACACTGCTATATACAACAACAAATATAAGAATATACATCCAAAACAGAAAACAGTTCTTCCCTATATATATATGGTTTTTGCTGTTAATACTACTTTTCTATTGGTAGTATAGGGGACACCGCGGGTAATACAAGACCCAAACAATGCTGACACATCAATGCCTATTGCTGACACATTAGGGCACCCAGTTAACAACTAAGAAGTAAAATTTCTTTTGACGAATCCTAAAACATAAATTTCATATACTAAGATTAATGGATTTGGAATTTTTTGTCTAAAGTCCTTCTAGGAAAAAAAATGAATATTGCACTTTTTGCATAGGTGGATTCCAGGGAAACCCTGCTGGCTCAGCCCCTTAATACAAATGGTGAAAATACAAACGGCATTAAAAAATTTAAGTTTGAGAGTGCAATTTCCATCCACTTAATGCAACCCCAACCGTGATGGGAAGATAGTCTGACCCTCCAGCTGTAAAATTTTCCACCCTAGGTACCCTCTATTTTGGGATCTGCTACTGCAAAGTAACATTGGTTATTAGAAAAACAAATAATCTTGCTAGATACACCCTGCACTTTAACTTCTACCAATGATTTGTTCACAAGTAATCAGATGAGGATTATGATGCATAGTATATTAAATAAAAAATGATTGCTACATGTAAGTCTACGATACTACACTTTTGCTAAAAAAGATTTGCTCAGTCTTTTTGTTTTCATGTATTTATATACGATACATTTATATTTGACTACGGTATTAAAGTAAATTCATTTAATAGTACATTTTTGTTGTTCACAAAAATATTTTTCTTTTAAGAAAAAGATAATACAATTTAACCTAACTGAACTATGCATAATGGGGTATGATGAGGTCCTAGTGACCTGTATACCCCTGCCCTAACCTATGCATCATGCGTTATCTGCTGAACTATTCTCTTGAAGAATGCATGTCTAGCAATAAATGAAAATTACAGGTTTTAATCATATTTCAATGAAAAAAGTAATTTTAAAATATTCCTAAATATAATTAAGCAACTTAAGAAATATGAGGTTTTATTATTGTACTATATTGGTTATATAGAAAAATATCAAATTCACCTCAAATTGTTACAAAATTTGAAACACACCATGGCAGGTCTAATAAGTTTACTAAAGTTCTTTAGTCATTTTCAAGTTGTTTGCGTCAATGAATAAGAATTCTTGACATCAAAATTGAGTAGGCGTAAATTACTAACACTAGTTGAAAAAATTGTAACAACTTCACGCAAACATAATTGTGGATTTCACAGCTTTGTAATGAAAAATATGGAGTTGAGTTGGCAATGGCAGATGTCAGGACGTGTAGCACGTGCCATGTGCTTCGCTCCAAGATAGATAATGATAACAAGATCATTCACAAGTCAGCACATCACAAGAAAGTTTCTTCCGAGAAAATTTGTTTAATGCGTTTATCAACAAGTGGAAACCATTAATTGCTCGTTGATAATGTGATGAGGTAGCGCTACACCAATAGCAATGTAACACCACTATTCAAATTAAAGTGGCGACCAGAGTAATTGCTGAAGAGGCTTGGGACCTGTGTTCGACAACCTTTGCCATCTTCACTACGCTTGTTCGCAACAACAGGAAACAGAATGACTAGATTTTCTGGCGTTCGTTGGTTTAGTCATGGTGGTAACAAGCGTGTGAAGTGTTCTTCAGGTTTCTCAAGAGACTGTGGCTTGACTTGACGTTCAAAAAACCTCTGATTGTAGGAAACAGACTTGAGTACATCGAAGACACAGGCCTGGTTTACTCACATTGTGTTGAAAAACGAACAGAAAATCCAACGAGGCTTTCCAATTCTTTAGAGGTCAGATCAACTTATCTCGAATGAGAACTTTGGGGGCGTATTGATATTGACGCATGTAGTTCTTAATGTTAGCAATGTTCTGCAAGCGAATGAAAGATTAGTTGATTTTCCAGACAAATTTGTAACATGTGAGAAGGAAGTATATGTTCTTGAACTTGGTTTTGTTCTATTTCCAAAAATTTTGCATCTTCAGTCACGTTTCATATTGTCTACGTAAACATCTCGATTCTTTGAAAATCTAAAACAAGTGTATCGTACTGTGTATACGAAGTGTAGTATTAGGGATATTATAACTGCAATCATTACCAATCATGATTCGATTTGCAACTTTGTATTTAGAACAGCGAGTTTTCAACTATCAATAATACAATCAATTGATTGTAGATGAACCAGCTTTCGTCCTGCAAAAAATCAGATAAAAACTAAAAAAAATAAAAGGAAATAATGAAGCTGAAGCTATAAAATATTGGATGTTATTTTTTTCCACTTTTCATTTCTGTTCAAATTAAATTTACTTTATTCAATCAAAACGGTAGAAAATGTGCAACTAAATGTCAGAAAACTATGCCTACCAGTGAAAATAAGGTGAAATAGTTGTTAAAATGATGCATAAAAAAATCCATTTGTACTTGTAATATATATGCAAAACTTCATTCAAAATCTATGTATCCTACTGTCACATTTTAAAAATTATTCGAATGATGGATAAACAAAATATATAGAAATAAGAAAATAATGTTGTCATACTTAGGGGCCAACATTACTGGACTATTGTTGGTCATACTTCCAAGTACCACAAAGTTTTTTGTACAAGTACCTCGTGAAAACAGAAAACCTTTGATATTGCGCATGATTGTCACAAAAATGTGCATGACAACAATGCTGCGGGCTAAAATATGTTTTTCTGATTCCACGAAAAAACACAAAGTTGTACTTCTCTGTGGTGTTAGCAACGATGTTCCAAATTATCATTTATAGTATTTATTTTATTATTTAATACATTTGTGGCAACTGTGACAGTGTTGCAAAACAAAACCTTACTGTTTATTACAAAATACAGTGGCACCAAACATAAACAAATTGGTGAACTTACCATATTTTTATGTACAGTACCTATTTTTATATGTTCATCAACCTAAATGTATACCATAAGTTGTTTGATATAAGCCCATCCTCCTTGAACTCAAAATTGAGCCAATTTTTGGGGGTGGGCTAATACCCGGGGATTTCCCTTTTTAATTTAGTGGCAATTTTTGGGCACTGTAGGCTTAATTCAAAGCCAATATTTGATGCTTTTATTAGAGAATATTTGTAAAAGTCATACCCTGGGGTTATGCCCCAGGAAAGGCTGGTAGGCCCTACATAAAATTGGGCATAATGTAGGTGGATGGGCTTACTGTATACTAGACTTGCCACAAGTTATCTAATTATTGGTTTTCGCTAGTGTTGGATACTTTCAAAGAGCGCCACCAGCGCCTGGTTATGTCGAGAAACGTTTTATGTTGTTTAAACTCAGTCTAAATGTACACCCAAGGAACTACCATATATACTATTGTAATTCTTCAATAGTAAAACCATATATATATATTTTAGTATATTCTTTTGAAAGCCATTGAAATTATTTGATCATAACATGACGTAGTTGTTACATATTATTCAGGAATACCCAGCTGTTTTAAAATGTCATTCATGTTAATAAAGACATTCCTGCATCATCTTTCTGTCTTTGTCAACGAATAACTTGTGACACACAACAGATACTATGCATTATGATATAATTTGTCTTTTTCAAACTTAGTAATACCCAGCAATTTCAAAGAGAAGCATTCGTCCCACGGGAGGCTGAATGGCTTTGTGTGTAATTTAATCTGATTATTATATTAATTTGAAGGTGTTGGTGAAATATATGAATGAAAGAAATATATTTCTATACTCATAACTTTTTTTTTTATTACAACTCAAAGTGATGAAATGATTGTTTTTTTTTCTGTATGTGTTGTTTTAATGTTTATTATGGATATGATATATATTTGTATATTTATATTTTATTGTTTAATAAACCTTTTAGTGGCATTGTATTCATTGCTGTTGGTTTTTTAATGAATCAAAATAGGAATAAAATAAAAATAGGTGATTAAGAAAATTATGAATATTATTTGTAAAATAAGTACAGTATTTTGGGGTTTTTTTTTCCACATACACTAAAATAGTTGTATGTATATACATGCTTAGTGTATTAATAGGCCTATTTAATTTTTAAAAATTGTTTTTTCAAAACAAAATAGGAATAAAATAAAAATAGGTTATTAAGAAAATTATGAATATTATTTGTAAAATAAGTACAGTATTTTTGAGTTTTTTTTTCCACATACACTAAAATAGTTGTATATATATACATGCTTAGTGTATTAATAGGCCTATTTAATTTTTAAAAATTGTTTTTTTAAACAGCTTTATTTACACACATAATGTAATGCTTTATAGTTATGATGCGATATTTTGCTCACCAACTCACGAATGGGGAGGTAGATAGGACTTCTTCTTGCTAATTACTGATAGGCCTGGTATTTTACAAGGATCTATGGTTGTGCCATTGTTTACCTACTTGTTTCTTTTTGTTTGTTGTGTTTGTGGTAATCAAATATTGTCTGAAAAATTAAATTAAATAGTTCATTTAAAATTAATAATTGATTTAAGCAAAACCATTCATAAGTAATATAAACTTCTTATTCTATCCAATTGTCGGCTTCCTACAGATATCTCTGTTTTATATCAACTTTGAATATTTTAATCAATTCGTACAAATGTTAACCTTAACTGGTTTAAAAAATTACAACTGTATGCTATGGCTATTTTAATTAACATAAACTTGTAAGGGCACTTGGAAAAAAACCAACATCGATGGTGCCACAAATCAAATAAATATTGTTACAATTAATTATGATGTAATGACATTCTGCGATAAATGTACAACATTTTAATGGACTTCCTTTTATTTGTCGTCTCTGGTCTGGTCTCGGCTGATTTATATACTTAAAATCACAACGGGTCATGTGCTTATACTTTTATGCCGAAATTGGAGCCAAGAAAATTCTTTCAGTTTTGAATTTGAAATGAATTTATGAGGCTCTATGCTACAAAGTTTGTTTCATGTTTGTCAACACACAACTTCTGGCTTGACAGCAAGCAAAGCTGTAAGTCAAATAAGTTTATGGTTAATCAAATTGAGATGACACATAAGAGAATTTTGACAAGTGTTTGTGTGTATGTGTATCTGTATGTGTATTGGGGGTATGTGTGTATATTTGTGAGCTGCTTGAACTCATGGACAAACTGGATAAAGAAAAGTTTTGTATGCACTTGATAAAATGCCATTCTGGATGCTTATAAAAAAAGTTTAGAGGGTTTCTAAAATGTTAAATACTTAATTAAAAATAAATGGCCTGGCAAAATGAAACAGCCACTAATCATTATCTATGACCTCAACAAATGTACAGAATTATTTAGGAGAATTTAATCTAGATGTGTATAAGAGACAGATATATATATAAAAAACCAGGACAAACCTAAACCCAAAATTTATTCTTGATCCGACCTGATTGTGAAACTTTAGAGGTGGTTTTTGGAGCATCTCCGATTGCAAGTGGTAATTTCAAATCAGCTTTGTTTCCTAGGCCCAAAGTTTGCAATTAGTCCTGTTCCACAAGAAGGAATCAGGAATTTTGCAGAAACCACTAAATATAAGGAGTGTAAATGGCAACATACTATTGTTTCGTTAACAAGTAGTTTGGAAAACATTAAATGAACCATATCTTCTCTCTGCTTTGGAGTTTTACCATAGGCCTAATATTTTTTTTCTGATAAAACCATTAATATTGAATGTTATTGATTATTCTGAAGTTTTAAGCCGAATCCAACTTTAATAAAAGGCTAAAAAATTAGAAAACTTTGAAGTTTAAAGCTATTGAATTTTTTAAAGTACATGGATGTTTGACTATCATATACAGTACCAGTGGCAGATCCATAAACTTTAAATAAAGGCCAAAAAAAAATAACAATGCACAACCACCTCTGTTGCCTAGGGAATATTCTGTGTCACACATAAACACTCAGCATGCATAGACCAAATATAACATAAAACATTTGCAACTTACTAGGTACCGGCTCCTATGTACTTCTGGAGACATCCAAGGACACATGTGAATGCCCCTATTCAACCCCCGACCTTACAGCAGCTCAATTCGCAACCACTGTGCCAGCCGTTCACACACATAGTTTTTCTTAATTTTGGTCATTACAAATCATAACTTCAAAATAATGTAATGAAAAAAATGATACTTGGTATACTATGTGATACGCAAGGGCAAAAACACATAATTCAATTTAATTTCCCAATTAAAATTCATTGAATTGATTTCCATCATTTCCCGATCTAATCTAATATTGAGATCTACGATCGAGGGCTATGACGTGAGAACTAGATTTCATTCAACGGAAAACTTTGATGAATATACTTCACAAGGAGTTACTGAAACTAGGCAATTGATTTGGTACAGTGGAACAATAAGCTGCAACTGTTCCTTTAAAAGTGCACTGGAGTAACTAAATGTGTCACTTGAAAATGCCAAACTATAAATAACACACACATTCTGAGCTCATGTAAATACCATAAGCAACATAGTAAACTTAATGTAATAAGATTGATAAGAAATTTTATAGCTCATGCCTCATTGAGAATGATATTAAATATTGACATTGTGTATGCTTCATAAAGATATACTGCTTATTCTGAACCAATCTGAAATAAAAACCCTCAATAACATTCAATAAAAACATTAGATTAGTTATTTAAAAATATCAATTGCATAATAATCAACTTTCATTGAAAAATGGCATATGGGTAAAAATAGATCCCAATGATAAAATATAGTAATAAAACTGATTTAAAAACTAAATGCTGCAAAATGGCAAAAATTGAATCAATAAATCAATATAAATCATGAATTTTTTAAAATTAAAATAATTTAGTTTTTATATTGAAGAATCTGATGCTTAATAAGTTGCCATTTTATATTAAGTTATGCAGTGCAAAATTAATAAAATATTTAATAGATTAAAAAAAGTATAATAAATACTTTTTTTTTGGTTTCAACATTGACATAAAATTCAGTAATTTGAATAATTTGGTTAGATTTTTTCATAAATTATTTAATCGATCAATGTATCATTTGTTTGCTTTTAAATAAAATAATTTAATCATTCGATATTTTGTGTTTAAAAAAAATAATCAATTTTTTGAGGAGATGCTACTGTCATGAGTTTTAAAAACTTTTAACAAAATGTTACTAGATTTTAAAGTTACATTTAACTTAATACTGTATGTATAACATAAATAAATTAAGATTAAGTGGGTACATTCACTGGTTATTTTTAAAAGTGACCTGTTATAATTTCACTTAAACAAATTAAAATAACAATGTCAATATTAAGTTTATAGTTTTATTCTAAAAATAAACTATAAACTACAGAGGAAAAAAGTTTTTTAATATGTTGTACAACTGATTTTTCACAAAGACACAGAAACCGGTATTTCTGATGAAAACTCCCTGTTGCCAACTTTAAAAACTTCTTTATTGGACTGACTGTCTTCTTTTGTTTTGACTCGGTATTTGTAAATAAATGTTTTTAATTAAATGGTATTATATATTTATTTACTTAGCGGTGGTGGACCTTTTATCTCATTCAACCTTGTTTCTACAACCCTTTAATATGTTTTACTCCTAGTAAGTCAGCTTTTCACATCAGAAGCAGAACCTACTGGTAGGAATTGAATGATAGATAACATTCACTAGTCATTAAAACAACATAGGATCTGAGGCAGATACAGGACTTGGCGGTAGGTGTTGCGTAAAGGTCCATACCACCTCAGCCCCACCATGGTCATATACAGACCTTTAGGTGCCCGGAAATTGCACTCTCATACCTTACAAATCTTTTACTGGTAATTCACATCAACAACAAAAACAATATTTTAAATACAATTTTCTTTTTGGGGGGGGGTCCGCGATCACATTGTCTGCACCCCCACCCCCTGCATCCACCTCAGTCGGATTAACATAAAAAAGATTTGATAAAAACATTTCATAAAACATTTCATAAAAACATGATAAACTGTTTATCCGAATAAAATTTATTGTCATTAAAAAAACCCTACTAATTGAAAATAATATGTCTTAATGGTGTATACAAAAGTAAGAAAAAAGAGAATTAATTTTGGAGATGTATATTTCTATGATGTGAAACAAGTAAGAAATTAACCAGCTCAGTAAATGAGTCTCAAAAGATAGGAAATTGAGTGAAGTTGATATATGGGTGTTGGAAATCCAGGAAATAGCAACCCCCAACCATTTGCAGGGGCGCGATCTTGAATTTTCAAGCGGGGAGGGGAAAGGAGAATGTATTGTATTCTTGTTTTTTTAATACATGGCATTGTTATGTATTGAAATTTTAAAATGTTATTAATCGTCCTTTTTTATTATCATTTGTGACAAATTATGCATAATAAAAGCTAAATACATTGGGATTATATTTTCACTAAGCTTAAATTTAAAAGAAGCTTATTAACATTATTTAGGCGTACAAAACGATGTACCATCATTAAACCTTCTATGTTGGTGGGTAGAATATTGGAGGAAATACTCAAACAGAAGCCCCATTTGCACAGCTTAGAAAAATCATGACTATACTAAAGCCCAGAGCACACTACATAGCTTTTTCAACTGATGCAATTCCATGAGCCGACGACATGTGGTCAAATGGATAATTTTGAATGACGATTCGTTAAGACTACAATGTACAGTCAGCGGACTGACATTAAGTTGGGCAACTCTCACAAAGATCACAGGCAAATTTGTTCGTCAGGCTTTACATCATATATCCTGAATCATTCCAAGTCGTGAATCTTGAACTTCAATTAAAGATATTATTCTCCTGAAGTTAATTGAAGCAACTCAATCAAAATGTTGAGACATTCTCATTAACAAACAACAGTTCTTTTCCAGAACTGTCTATGTGGTGTACCACAAGCATTAAATATAATAAAAATTGAAGCGTATCGATATCATCATAAAAAATCCTACTAATTTAAAATAATATTTCTTTGTTGAACAGTAATAAAAATTTAAGTGTACCTGTATCAATAAATTGAAGTGTTTCAATTTATGGCCACAACTAGCCTATATTGTAAAGATATAGATTATATGTGAGTGATCAAAATTGTTTACAAAAATGTACCTGCTTTCTTATATCATCTTTTGTTATTGTGGTTTGCTTTTGTTTGGTGGGTTTTAAGAGACACAATTTTAAAAATAGAAAGGACAATAATTCAATCATTTAATTTACAAGTTAGTGACTGTTGTTTCGTCTAAACCTACATCCTCTTGGCGGCACGAATAACAAATGTCTTTTACCTGAAACCTGTCTTGATAGTTCGGTAAAGTGTTGTGCAGGAAGGAAGCGTGAAACGCACTCACACCAATTTGCACATTCGACAGGGCGTTAAAAAATAACTTTCACTTTTCCACTACTAAAGAGATTGTCCAGAGGGGCAGTGAGTCAGTGGAGAAGATGTACAATCGAAAGTATTATATACGATGATTAAGTTAAAGATGTGTCAAGATGTGTTTAGATGGATAAGATCTGTTATTGTAGAAATACCAGGGGAACCACCAGATGATGTCCAATGACAAACATTAAGCGGATTGTCTGTGTGTGAACTGTCCGTATGAAACTAGATACCCTTTCCTGTTTTGTATCATCATGTTAAGCAAAATAAATTTACAGTCTAATTTTTTGTCTCTTATAATTTTGTAGATAATCACAAACTGGAGAAATATTAGCACGGTCATGGCACAAATTTGTTCAAACCAATGTTTCTTAAGTAAATTGGAAACACAAGAGTATAATGCTAAAACCCTGCAGTTGAAAACAAAAGGTAAACTGTGCTACTTCAAAATTTTTAAACAATGGAGTAATATACATGAAGTTTATAAAAGATTATCTACCTACTGTAACCCTTGAGCAAAGTGATGCAGACGGGCACTTTTTATTATTTTGCTATCTTGCCCTCCTCCACCCGCCCCTAACTCACTGAGAGAAACAGGGACGGAAAACAAAAAAAAAATTTTAATGTTTTTTTTTTTAGCTTTTTTCTTTACAAATTAAAAAAAAATGTGTGAATTTATCTATATTTTTTGCAAGATACCCTACAAATTAGTATAAAATTGTTGTCTGATGTAAGATATTACCATTCTAGGCCTCTGTGGGTTATATTTTTATTCCATCTGATGAGTATTACAATTAATTTTTTTTGCCTTAGAATGGTATGCCTTAAACCAGGGCCATTGACAATTGAAACTTGCACCAAGAACATCTATAGAATGAATGAGTATGAATTATAAACAATTCAGATATAATTAACCCAGCAAGTTATCATTTAGTACCAAGCCTGCTCAAACAAGACAGCAGCAGAAAGAACCAGCATTTATTGTGTGTGTCAATGTACCTGTGATTAAAGTAATTCACAACTTCATCTCAGATACCTCTTCAAAATCACTGTTGGGTCATCATTGTCTAGAGTTGGAAGGTGTATCACAACTTGTCAAGGTATGATAAGGGTAAGCATGAGCACAATGGAATGTGGCATTCTGTTTCAACCTTCTATCTGTTCTATGTAGGAATGCAATCAGCCAACGATTATTGTTTTTTAATTGGAGATCCTAACAAAAGTGATGCACATGCAAATAATAATTTATTAACAGCAGAAATCATAAACCTGTGTAGAGCCACTCAACAGCAGTTTAATTTACATTACAGCAACCCTAGTCATTAGTGGGGTTGTCATTCTTTGGTTAAATTTTGCCTTTTTTTTTGGAATGTATTTTGTTCTCCTGTCTTTGCCAAAATAAATGAAATGAAACATAGTTACTTTGTTTGAATTGCGCATCTAAAAAATCAAATTATCAAAAATGAAATGAAAATTATTTGGCATCTAAAATTGTGAATTTACACAGCTAGGACTGATATTTTCACTCAATGATGCCAGAAAAAGCTTGGTCAACACTAACTTGATATAAAAACAGAAATAAATTACTAACGGAAATATGGTTTACAAGGGTTTTGTATGTGTAAATCATAAGTTTATCCCTCTGGAATTCTGTCTTGC